ATGTCATTCTTATGGTTATTTCTGGTATCTATTTTAAAAGGTGTTTATATTATTTAAAGAAGGTAATTTTCCACTTTGATGGTATTTGATTTTTATTTTGTTTAAACTATTGTAATGGTCACTGGATATATTGTTTTCATTCAGCCTGAAATGGGTCCTGTGCATGTTTGTATTTTGCATAAGAATTGCTCCAGTAAATGATTGTGTAATGATCTGATTGGCTTGAGTCACAACTGAAATCTCTTACTGGTTACAGTTAGGATATTGATATCCACATAACATTATATTACTTTATTTTAAAAATATCTTATATTAAATACCAGTTAATATTATCATGACTTATTTTTATGTGGACATCCATGGTGTCGTCTCTATATTTATTCATATTAGTATATATTTTTGTTTGAAAATAGAGATACATATTTGACAAACACTCATTGCTCAATAATGTGATTTTGGCTCATTTCTTATCTTGTATTTGTAATGCATTATTTTCTCATTTGTACACATTTACAATTTTGTGACTTCTTTTATGAACTGTTTTTCATCTTGCTTTCATTTCGACTTTTTCTGTAATGAGTAAATGTGTCCTGCTGCATTGTGTTTTCAAAGGTAATCAACAGAGCCAAATCTCCTCTAGACAGACTTAACTTAAGGCAATGCTTAATTAAGATACCCTGTTCTCTTTATAATGTTGTATAGAAAACACATGTAATGTATGTTACTGCATATGCATATCAAGATCTATGACAATATTTAACTTCTGCATTTCTTCTATAATTCTCTTGCTATATCAGTACTTATCATATTTTATGTGAGATGTGACTCACTGTAATTAAGACATAATATTCTAATATCTGGTGCCAAGCCAAAATGGTATTTATGTGATCACATAAAATATGAAGACCTGTGTTTTTCCCTTGATATATAATAACAGTAAGAGTATATTCTGTGAGCACTTATGTCCTACAATACTCTAAAAAGTTTAAATGTGCATTATAGTACTTTAGCTTCATCAGGAGATTCTCAGATAGCTACAAGCAATACAAATGTTAATCACATTAATGAATAATCATTTTTCTTCACTCAGCAAATTCTTAAAAGTGATTCTGGAATTTTCACTTTATCTCACATGCTGCCTAGTCAATCCATCAGCATATTATATTGATTCTAGATACAGAATGTATTTGGAGTATAATTGCTTATCAATTATACAAATTATCCCTCTTTCTTGCTTCGTTTGTTTTCATATAAGTTATCTCCAGCTAACATTTATTATATTTTGCTGATACTGGGCCTCCCCTGGTGGCGCAGCTGTTGAGTGCTGGGCTGCAAAGCAGCCCACAGCCTCTGCAGTGCCGGTTCGATCCTCAGCCTCCAGCAAGGGTCCCACATGGCACGACAGACCTCTCCTGCCACGCCCGCTGCTCCCCTCAGCAGTGTATTTCATCAGTCTGCCTGTTCTGTTCCCTGCTCTGGCTCTGGTGAATTCTCTCACCCTCCCATGCTTCTGACTGTACCCAGTGCTTGTATAAATAAATAAATAAATCTTTAGAGGAAAAAAAATATTTTGCTGACACTTTCTGTTTGTTGTCATTCCCTTAACCTCCACTAACATGTAATGATCACAGAATTTTCTCACTTTGGTCAACACTGTATAACCAGCAACCAGAGCAGAGCCTCTGTGAATCAGATGACTGGATTTTATAGATGATGAAACTGAGACACAGAGTGAATAGACAATTAGATGCTCCTTTTTCTTATTGCTAACTTAGACCTGCAGAAATTTTTTGAAGATTTCTCACCTTTATAGAGTCATTAGTTCATTTATAATTGGTTTTCTTCTCTTCTAAAGGGGATACATTGTGATAAGAGCTACTCTGTGTTAACATTGTTAAAATTTTATTTGACCTTAGCATTCACCTTTATGGATACCTTTAGATTACTCTGTGTTTTAAAGAGAATTTACTGCCTTTAAATGAATAAAAATAACCACAATGCTATTAAATATGATGCTAGTGATAATAATGAAAAGAAGGAAGAAAGACCACGGCCACTTCAATTTAGTTTAAAGGACTCATACACTTACAATGGAAATGCGGTATGTTGGAAGTAAGGCTGAGCATATAATGGGGGATTTCTGTTACTTGGTTCTTGGCCTCTGCAAGGGCATTACAGAGTGGGAGGATCACAGAAAAATGCAGATAACGCTGAGTGGGGACCAGCTAGCTCATCAGCGAGACCCAGCGGATAGATGGGCTGGGACTCAGTTGTGGAAAGAAACAAATCGACCAGCCTGTTGTAGCTTAGCTTGAATGTTGCTCATCTCTTGTCATTCTTGAATTTAAGCGTAATTTTGATAAATGCCAGTGCCCAGTCCATATATTTCCTGAGAAATGAGAAATGTATTTATTGCCCATGCTCAGGATGAGAAAATAACATAGGAAAATGTGCATCCTTGGAATCCAGTATGGTGTTGACTCAGGAATTTGAACACATTAATATTGTCCCTGAATGACAGACTTTGTTTACATTAGTGAAATGCATTCATCTGAGGAGGTAACAAGGTGCAAATGACTTTGTGGAACATGACATGGAAATATGCAAGCTATGGTTTTGCTATAAATTACATGGTAATTGCCAGGCTAGTCAAATGTTATATTATAAAGTTAATTACCTGAAACTATTGCAGTTAATTAAGTCATGTGCTTATGAAGTTTAATTCTATGTATTTAAAGTGTATTTGATTCTGTATGTAAACATATTTATATACTATATATGTATGTATATTTGTAAATATCTATTTATATACACCAATATTCATATGTTGAAGATTTAGCTCCTGGTACTTCAGTATGTAATTCTAGTAATAGGGTTTTTGTGAAGGTAATTAACTTACAATTAGTTCTTAGAATGCCCCTTATCCAATGGGACTGGTGTCATGTGAGGAAAAGTTCACAGCACAAAAATATGGAGGGCTGTGGCCACCTCAACATACAAGAAAAAATGTCTACAAATAAGTGAAGGAGACACACCAGAAATCGGCCCTGATATCATATTGATCCCAGACTCTATACTGCAGAACAGTGAGAGATAAATTGCTGTTGTTTAAGCTCCCGGTCTGTGATATTTGGTTACAACAATCCTGATATACTAACACTTTCAGTGTCAGCATAATGTGCACGTGTGTTGACATGTGTGTGTACAGGTGTATATATCAAAGTAAGTGAAGAAAGAGCAGAGGATGATAGAGTTGTCTTGGGTGTATGCAAACTGCTTAGGTTGAGGTGTGGTTACTATCTTTATATGAATATGTCTACTAAAATAAAATAGACACTATAAAATATGTGCTTTTATCATCTTGATTGTGAGACAAAGAACTCACAATCTTTATTTGTTTCAGTGTAATGGTCAGAGTGGAAGATACACTGTGTTGATGCACCAGCTGTCTATGCTCTGGTAAAGTCATAATATATTCACATTATAAAGTAAAATGATATTTCTCTATGGAAAATAAATCATTCCATCCTTGATGGTTTCAAAATAAAGTAATTAGGGTTGTATCTAGAAACATTTTCTTCATTGTCTTTGTCAAAATTTGAGACTCCGCAATACAAGTCCACACCAGGCTCATCATTAGTTGGTTTCTAAGGGACAAGGCAACTATTTCCTTAAAACATAGAGTCCTTGGGTTTTTGTCCTTGGAAGCAGGCCAAACAACCTTCTTTCAAAATTAGTCCCTCAAGGATGACCAAACATTGCATCATCACCATCTCCAATATATGAGGCTCCCTGGAATCATCAGGATGAGAGACAATACCACCCTGCTCTGCGCTATTCTCAGTAGCCCCCTAATATTCTTTTGACATCAGTCACAGCCAGCAAACTTCTACTTAACCAGGGCCTTAACAAAATTCCTAGGTTAATTTATTATTATATCAGAATTAAAAAGAAATGCATGCCCACATATTTAAAAAGAACTTATCTCAAAGGAAACATTTACTATATTACAGAAATTTTAGACTCAAATGGTTCTTGTATTTTATTTGTGAGGAAAGATTTAGGTTGAACCATTTCTAGACTGATGCATTGGAAGAAGGTTTTTGTCTTTATAACTGACTTTGAATCACAGTAAGTATTACTCTCAAAATTACAGGGGTTGAGTGCATCAGACGAAATGATACCTGTGGGAAGAATATGCACATATGTCCTTAAGATGTGACTCTAGTGATGCCTGTTCTTCTGGAGACAGAAACATAGAGTTAATGGAATTAGGGTTTCCAAGCAATCTTAACATGTTATAATATAATTTTAGCAGAATTAGATTTAAAATGGGAACCATTTCCCAATTTCTGAAAATTGGTACTAATATTAATTAGTGTTAATTATGCTAATAAACCTTACTGAAGTTCTTTAAGGTTTAGATTTGTTGTCATTAGACAAAATAAAATTTGAAGCAAAACGTAAGTAAATTTTCCCTTAACACCATATTTCTATCATTATTTTATATATGAATATCATTTTTATAGGCGGATGGAATTAATCATGATGTGGAATACAGTATTTCAGTATGTTCTGTGGAGTGAGCCTATCTTTGGACTCACAAGGCCATCATCTAATAGCTGTGACTCAGGATAAATTTCTCAAATCACGCATGTCCTTTTCCTCATCTAAAAGACATGGCTAAGGGTAACACCCATGGCATAACATTTTCAGTGAAATAAATTCACTACAAAGTAAACATTTAGAGGAGTGTCAGTTTCTTTCTCAAAAACAAATATAATTTTTTTTTATTATATTCTGTCCAATCAATATACACCCATTTCTATAGTGAGCAAAAAAAAAATCATTTCCCCATCATATCCTGTATACCACCAATTATTATTAAATTAGAAACATTAAATTAATATACACATGCCAAATCATTCAAGGCAACACTTTTTTGTATCATTTCTGCTAAGTATGAACTCTGACTTCTCAACAGGTAAAAGCATTAGAGCATGATGCACAGAAAGAATAATACAAACGTGGCTGACTTCATCCTTGTGGGATTTACAGATGCTGAAGACATCCAGCTGGTGCTCTTTGTGCTGTTTCTCCTGATATACCTGGTCACTGTGCTGGGGAATGCAGGGATGATAACGGTCATCCGCCTGGATGCCCAACTTCACACCCCCATGTATTTTTTCCTCAGTCACCTGTCTTTCATTGACCTCAGTTACTCAAATGTTGTCACTCCTAAAACAATAGGAAACTTACTGACCTCCAACAAGAAGATTTCCTACGTGAATTGCTTCACCCAAATGTACTTTTTTATATTCTTGACTGGCGCTGAATGTTTTCTTCTCTCCTCCATGGCCTATGATCGCTATGTAGCCATCTGCAATCCTCTCCACTACCCGGTTGTCATGTCCACCAGACGCTGCTGCTCCCTCGTCTTCGGGTCCTATGTAGTAGGTTTTATGGATTCCTTAATAAATGAACTTTGCATGAGCAGATTGCACTTCTGCAACTCCAATGTAATCCATCATTTTTTCTGTGATGCATCCCCAATTTTAGCCCTGTCTTGCACTGAAACCCGGGACACTGAACTCGTGATATTCATTTTTGCTGGCTCCACACTCATGTTCTCTCTTATCACAATATCAGTGTCCTATGTGTCCATTCTCTCCACTATCTTGAAAATTAATTCTGCTTCAGGAAAGAGAAAAGCCTTCTCCACCTGTGCCTCACATCTCTTGGCAATCACCATCTTTTATAGCACCATGATCTTCACTTATTTAAGGCCAAGTAAGTCCTACTCCTTGGGAAAGGATCAGGTGGCTTCCGTGTTTTACACTATTGTGACCCCCATGCTGAATCCCCTCATTTATAGTCTTCGCAACAAAGAAGTGAAAAATGCTGCCCTTAGACTCCTGCAGAAGAGAGAGGGCTCCAGGCACTTCAAATAATGTCTCTGAGCTTTTAAGTTCTCTCTGAAACCATTGCCTCCTTTCATTTGCTTTTTTTGGGGGGATCCATCTGTTACTTGACCAAATATGATCTTGGGCCTTTCCTGAATTATGTCTTTAGAAATCCAATATTGTAATGGAAATCATAAAATAAGACTTATACTTATGGTCTACATTTAAATGCAACTGCTGTGCAAAATAAGAAGAGAGTTTCATCTTTTAAATTATACTGTACCAATTACTTTGTTAGGCTAATATCAGAGAATTTTGTTATGGAAATGTCCATTGTTGGCATAATTGAAAACACTTTAGAATTCATTTAATTCATTATTATCAGAAGAATTGTACCAGAAAGAATATGAACATTTGTTGTGGAGTCACGAACCTCTATTTAGATCTAGATCTGCTTACCTTTTAGCTATAGAAACTTCAATATGTCACTCAACTTCTAGCCTCAGTGCCCTCAACTATGTAAGACAAGTAATAATCTCAGGTTCCTAGAGTTTTTGTAGAGATTAAGTCCAATGATGGATGTAACATATTTAAGGCATTTTTAATAAATCTGTCCATTATCATACGAAGACTTACATTCCTGCAATATTTTCAATACAGAATTTTTTTAAAGAACATTTTATAAATAGATTAAAGAACTAGACATAAGACCTGAAACCATAAAATATATAGAAGGAAATATAGGTGAACACTACATGACATACACCTCAGTAATATCTTTAAAGACACATCACCCAAAGCAGTGATAGTAAAGGCAAAGATAAACAGCTGGGACTACATCAAGTAAAAATCAAAGTTAACAAATAACTATAAACTAGAGACACACTATGGGTGGGGGTGAGGAAGGAGTAGAATCAAAACAAGCGGGGGTAGGAATTGTATGGGAACTATAACCAAGGTGAAAATGCGTACATTGTGCAAAAACAAAAAATTATGTAAAAATACATAAAATAAAATAAGAACATTTTATAAATGCTATCCTCTCCACTACACAGTTTATACAGTATTTTATAAATCTCTTTTGATTAATTTAAGCACACAAACAACTAAAAAGGAAATAAATATCTTAATGCTTCATAAATTTGGATTTGCTGGTAGATTTATCATTGGTGAAAACTTAGAAAATATTGAAAAAATAAGGAAATAGAAATGCCCTACAATTACTGACTGCATAGTGTCTTTACTTTTATATAGATGAAGTTATGTGGGCTTTGCATATATAAGTAAAACTCCTGGTGTTTCTAATATATTTTTTGTACCTTTTTTATACTTGCAAATTAAACTTTGCTATATCCTTCGTCATTGAAACATTGTGAGATGAATGTGTTCCCTGTCGTCTATGATATATATATATATATATATGATTGTGTGTGATATATTTGTGTGTGATATATTTATAACATGATCTTTAGGACAAAGCCCAAACTCTAAAGTAAACATATATATAGCAATTCTAAATGCACCTAATAAAACTATAAAAAGAAAATATTTTTTTCACACTTTTTAAAAAGAAATATAGGACAAATTATTTCAGAATGATAGAACTAAAAGTATGGGCAAAATGCTTTATTTTGAAACATTCAAAATTAGAGAAGTACTATTAGCTGAATGCAAGACACTTTCCTGTCTAATTCCTATGTGCAGAGACACAGACTGACATCAAACATTCCTTGCATTTTTAGCCAATGCTAAAAAAAGTACTTTGCTTATGAACAGATTTCTCTCCATAATTTTTTCATTACTTCTTTTACATCTTTGTTTCTTAAATAATTAGAAGTGGCACAAGTATGAATAGACCCTTATATACTCTATTTTCCTATTGAAAAGCAGATATATTTAAAAATGAGAGATGCCACAAACAGAGCCTTCATTGGAAAGTCCAACTCCAATTCAGAAAGCAAGAAATAACAGCAAAATAGACAAATGGCAAAGAGAAATAATTTTACAAGGAAAGAATGAACTAGAAAATCTGGGTATAATTAACATTACTTAGAAAGATCTATCTCTTACATGTGTCTTAATTGAATTGAATGAAATGTTGACAGTTTCCTATGTATGTGAATTGATTGATATTGTTATGACCCTGATTTATTAAGATATTATGTATATATATTACCATTATAGAACCCTCACTAGTAGAAGGCTGGGAACAATTGACAGAGAAACTTCACTTCTCAACTTAAAAGAAACCATTTGTTCAGGAAGACATTTGTAAGCAGACATGTGAGTAACAACCTAAAAGTGGTATAAATATAGGCATAGAATAATTCAATTTGAGAACAGATGTACTTCATGTCTACGGTCCTAAGTTTCTCCAGATTTTGGTGAGATCCACCTGACACTATCATTTCCCCTTCTTGCAGACAGCTGCCAGGAACTCCCTGTGATGCATCACACCTGCCCTGCCTGCCAGGCTTCTGGGTCTTGCCAAGAAGTTCAGAACCTTCCACCCTTTACTGCCAATGGACTCATATATTTACATTGTTTTAATGGTGACTTCTTTATGTGCACTTGACTAGCTGTGATTGAAACTTTTCCACTCTGGCAGAAGTTAGCACTTTAGAGATCTGAACACAACACAATAAATATTTATTCACTTAGGGAAAATTTAGAGTAACAATACAGCTCAGCCATTGGTCTAGATTCTGCACTAGATTAGAAATAAGTCAAATATAAGTTAAGGAAATTAAAGTGCACATTATGTAATGTAGTGATACTTGCAATGATTGCATTTAAGAAAGAAGAAATATGAGATGTAAAGGAAGTGAATTGCAATGATCATAATATAGTCCAAGAGGTCTCACAAAAGAAATGATATTCAAGGAAGGAATCATGTGAATAACTGTGTAAAGAATCTTCCAAAGGAAAACCTTCCAAGTAAAAATTTACTTGTATTTCCAACTGTCTGTGTCTATCCAATACTGATCATATAGAGATGAAAGTTAACACTATACATGTTATACATATTTTTTTCTTTTCTTAAAGCAACATTGGTTTACAATAATGCATAAAATTTAGAAGTATAGTTCACAACTCCTCAAATAATGGCAACATACCATGCCATCCACTTAAGTTCTGCTAATCCTAAACCAACAGATGAAAGAGATCACATATAAAACATACCAATATTCATATGTTAAGATCTCAATTCCCTTACCTCAAAATCTGACTGTGTTTGGATATTAGTTCTGTGAAAGTAACTAACTTAAATATTTTCAGTTTGGTGTTAACTCAATATAACTAGTATATCTATAAGAAGATATAAGGACACAGACACTGGAAGTGAAGAGGCGATAACTGCCATCTACAAAGCCCAGGAGAAATGTCTGAGAAGAGATTAACCCTGTTTTCCCCTTGACTTCAGACTGGGAGAATACAGAACAGTGAGAAATAAGTGCTTGCTGTGTAACCCACCAGATGTAGTGCTCTCTTATGGCTCTAGCAAACTTCTGCATTCTGTCAGCACACATGTACATGTATGGATACATGTGTGTTCATGCACACATATGTATCTCAGAATGCATTAAATCAGAAGCAAGTGGATAACGGGTTTTCTGCATATGTGGAAACTGCATAGTTGCAGATGTGACTCCTACTTTTATATAAAAAAATATCCATGAAGAATAAAAAGATACAACAAATGTAAAACATTCTTGATATGGAGATAATGGACCATATTTTTAACTTGTTTACAGTTTTATTGTCAGTGTGAAGAATATACTTTATTGAGAAACCAATTTTTACCGAATACTTTTTTCATTGCCTGTTTTACATCTTTGTTCCTTAAACTGTAGATGATGGGATTCAGCATGGGGATCACAATGGTGTAAAATATCGACACTATCATGTCATAGTCCAAAGCATAGCTGGAACTCGGTCTCATGTACATGAAAAGGATTGTTCCGTGATAGATGGATACCCCAGTCATGTGAGAGCCACAGGTAGAGAAGACTTTCCTCCTTCCTTCCGGAGACTTCATCCTCAGGATTGCCAACAAGATGAAACCATACGAGATCAGGACAATCAAAATAGCAATTATCTCAATAGATCCCACAAAGTAAAAGAGCAGGATCTGGTTTATGTGCGTGTCAGAACAAGAAATAGCAAGGAGAGGGGGGATGTCACAGAAGATGTGTCTGACTTCATTGGATGCGCAGAAGGACAGGCTGAATGTGGCCCCTGTGTGCACAGAAGCATTCAAAATGCCACCAACATAGGAAGCAATTATGAGTGGTACATAGACACTGGGTGACATGCTGACTGAATACAGGAGTGGGTTGTAGATGGCTACATAGCGATCATAAGCCATGACGGCCAAGAGGAAGCTCTCTGTGGTCCCAAAAGTCACAGCGAGAAACATCTGCATTGCACACCCAAGGAATGAAATGACTTTATTCTTTGACATAAAATCTATTAACATATTTGGGGTAATTACTGAGGAAAAGCAAGCATCCACAGATGATAACACACTCAGAAAATAGTACATGGGGTTATGAAGCCTCGAATCTCCAATCACCAATAAAACCAATCCCAAATTTCCCACCATAGTAAACAGGTAAATTGCTAGAAACAGGAAGAATAAGATCATCTGTACTTCAAGCTTGTCTGTGAAGCCCATTAGGACAAATATTGTGACTTCTGTGATATTTCTCATGTTGGCGTTTCATGGAGTAATCTTGCACGTATTCATAAAATTATCATTAATAGTACTATGACAAAATTGAGCAATATTGAAATTCAAGGAAAGTGAAGTTTGTCCTTGCTTTTAATTCTTGGTAATGCATAATTTCCCTGCAACTGCTCAGGATACAATGACAAGATGGTGGGTCGATGGTAGATGACACTCTCTATAAAATCAAAGTTCATGAATCTGAATTCAAAGGTCCATTATTAGTCCATAAAATGACACTAGTTGGAGGATAGTTTTTATTCATGTAGTGTATTACAGTTCATTTTATTTGTCACATATCTAGCTATAAGAGATTCAAGGTGCAGGATATTTGAGATATCAGAAACTTGAGAAGTCAGAATATTACGAAGATGTTTGCCTCAATATTGAGCCCAAGGTACATTTGCAAAGAAGAGAAATAACAGGCTTGTGCTTACTATAGGAATAGACTTTCACACATGTTATTTCACGTTTATGGCAAGTCTCAAGCTAGTGTCAGAGACAAGATTCAATCCCATGCCCTCTTTCAAAGTGTCCGCAAGTTCATTGCCTTTTTTCATTCTACCACTGGCTTCATTCTACCACTGACTTCCCCTTTTACCTCCTCCATTGAAATGAAACTGACCATGATTTGGGGTACATTTGGATATTTTTTTAAACCATTAAGGCTAGAGAAACATCATTAACTAAGTAGCATTCTGAAACATCTACATTGTGTAGAAAGAAAATTAGATTAAATGATCTAAGATTAGATTGTTAGATTAATTTAACAAAATTAGATTTAAATAATAATTGTTTTCCTAGTTATATCAAAATATAAGCCCAAAGGTAGTTAAGTAGGTCAATGCTTTTCCTCTCTTTTATTGATCAACTTCCTGATTATTTTACTTTGAATTGGTCTGCCTTCTTCTGTCAGGAAAATAAAAGTATGCACTCCATTTGCAGAATTCTCCTTCATTCTACAAAGATAAATTAAGTATTTTCAATTTTCCATGCTGTATTTTAGGACTTGTTTTTTAATTCTTAGACAAACCCTGCATATATCAGATTGAGAAGAATGCATTTTATTCACTTATACAATGGGCAACAATAAAAAGTTTAGTACTGAGGAACTTATAACCCATTTGCCCTTGATATTTTAGACTCTACTTCCTTAAATATTTAGCAAATCTTCTGAAAATACCTCTTACCTGTGAAACAGCAAGTGTAGTTAGATACATTAGGAATATGGTTCATTTGAATTGCTTATATCTCTTACTCAACTGTTGATAAAACCCAAAGGAGGTGCCCAAGGGGAATATGTTGCAATTAATTTGTTTCAAAATAGCAATGTGGTGATTTACTCAACAATAAAAGAGCGGGTGATGCTGGAATAATGTATTACATGTCATATTTACAAAATGAATAAACTTATTTTGTCTCTGGTTTAAACTGTTGCCTAAAAAAAGAAAATATATATATTTTGACACTAGATAATAAATCTTAAGATAAAGACCTATTCTTATGGTTTAGCACTAAATTCCCTGAGAACCAGTTTCCTCCTCCTGGCAAATTAAGACAGTTTTAGATTGCAACAATCTGTAAATATGGTAAACCACAGTAATGTAAAACAATATACACTTCACAGACTCTAACAGATGAGTTTATAGTCAACCAAATTCATTATACATTGACTCTGTTCAAATTATTAAGGGTTAGATTTGAATGAATGAAGTGTATATTTTGAGCTTTTCAAAAGATTGTCTTTCAAGGGAATAAGTAAGGTAATGTCATGGAAAGCATGTATTCATAGACAATAGCTCACTCAGATTAAACAAAAATATCTACTATTCATAGATAGGTAGGCATATACATGCACAGTTACACACATACAACACACACCCTCCTTAGGACCAAGACAGACACATTTAATATTGGTAGGCAATGAAGATTCAGTAAAATTTTAATTTTTCTTCAGTTTTCCACCTGCTTCACGTTCTTACCAAGACTCAATCATAGTATCCCAAAGAGATTGTGAGCTGCTGAAACAGTGCTGTAGGTTACTGAGGACCTAAGAAGTATGCAGCAAAGATAACTTTTGTGAGGGTTACAAAGTATGCAGAGAAGTACATTAGTTGAGTATGGCAGATACTGGAAAAGCAAGTTTCATCAAAGGAGACCAATTTACATCCTCACAAATAATGTATGAAGATTCCCTTTTCTCCACATCTTCTCCAACAGTAGACATTTCTTATATTTCTAATAATAGCCATTGCAACATGTATGAAGTGATATTTCTTGTGCTTTTGGTTCCTTTTTAAATTTTATTGAAGATGATATACATAAAGTATCAATACACATATCATAAATACACAGCTTGATAATTTTTAAAATGAGATTGAGAGGATTTAATATATGATACTTAAATAAGAAACAATTGCAGCAGAGATGGGACAGTACACAGATGACTTTAATATTCTATGTCAGCCTCCCCTGGTGGCGCAGCAGTTGAGTGCTGGGCTGCAAAGCTGCCCACAGTCTGTGCAGCGCCAGTTCGATCCCTGGCCACTGGTGAGGGTACCACATGGCGTGCAGACCTCTCCTGCCGCATCCGCTGCTCCCCTCAGCAGTGTACTTTGTCAGTCTGCCTGTTCTGTTCCCCACTCTGGCTCTGGTGAATTCTCTCACCCTCCTGCGCGTCTGACTGTACCCAGTGCTTATGTAAATAAATAAATAAATCTTTAAAAAAAAAAGAAAAATAATAATATTCTATGTCAGAAGCCATTAGTATATTAGACATTGGGAAGATAGAAAACTTAAGCTTTTTGAGTTGTACAGGCAATTGTTCTATACTGAGGATCCCATACACTAGGAAGACTGATACACATCCAATTATGAGCATAGAAACTATACATTAAATGTAATCCCAAATGATCTGTTTCTAGGTCTATGTTGATCTGTTTCTAGGTCTATTTTATGATGTGTATCAGTCTTTCTTTCCTCCCCCCGCTCTTCTTCCCTCCCTCCTACTTTTATTTTTGTCCTTCTTTCTTCCTTTTAAATTTAGATTCCATAATCAACATTCCCTAGCTACTATGTTAGAACCTCTGGAGGTGTGACTTAGACTTCCAATCTATAGACTGGTGTATGGGATCCTCAGTATAGAACAATTGCCTGCACAACTCAAAAAGCTTAAGTTTTCTATCTTCCCGATGTCTAATATACTAACGGCTCTGACATAGAATATTAAAGTCATCTGTGTACTGTCCCATCTCGGCTGCAATTGTTTCTTATTTAAGTATCATATATTAAATCCCCTCAATCTCTCAGTGACTTTGAATTTATTTTGCATATCACTTAGAAATAATAGATCTTTAAAAGTTTAAATGCAGTAATCTTTAATAAAGGATTGTAAATTCTGTTATAGCTTATGCATTCATACTATTTTCATTATGAATATATTTATATTCATATTATAATATATTAATAATATTATAATACTATATTATTTATATACAATCTATAATATTTATATTAATTTATATTTATATTGATGATTTATAATAATTTATATTCATATTATACTATAATATTATATTCATATTATAATATTTGATCATATTATAATATTTTTCAGAAAAGTAAATAGATTCTATTCTGAGAAAGAATAAATTGGGTTTCAAAGATTTGAAGTTATCAACTCAATGGTACATAGTATCAGAGCTAGGACAATGTCCTGTATCAAATTTCCTTTCCAATCTTAAGCAAGTACTCTTTACATTGAGGGTCATTTTATACCAGAGCCTAAAGTGTATTCATGCATTTACTTTAGCATGCAGTTCATTGCTCCAGAATGATTCATTTGTTTACTGAAAAAATGAAATTCTCCTGTCATATTTCTTTCCCAGAAGAGAATTAGTGTTTTCTCTGTGAAGCATCCCTGTGGACTTTGAGAACAGCTCGGGAATCTGCTATAAGAGTCCCAATGCTTACTACTCAGAGTTTCTTAATTGAATGGGCAGCTCATTTCCACAGGTAAAATGAAAGATATTTTTATCACAATGTATTTCAGGAGAAAACTCTGAATCTCTAATTAGAGTCTATGCTTTAAAATTTAAATCTGAGATAGAATGTCTAATAACTTTGAATTGAATTAAAAAATTGAATGAGGGAATTTTAGGAACATAGCAAGAATAAGAGGAAAATGTCTCTACATACCTGGGTCCTTAGAAGATTTGTGAGTTAGAAATCTTATTTAATTTCCTTCAGGAAGATAACAGATTTTAGGTGGTAGAAAGAAGGACTATAATACAACTTTAGGGAAAAGTGTTAAATAGAATTATATTAACTATCAATCCATCATTGCTATATGGGATTTAGGGATCATATATTTTTTTCTCATGAAGATATATAAATATATTGAAAATTCATTTTACAATTAGCTATTTGATCAAGAAGTCACTTCAGTTTTTACTTTTTTAATATCATGGTCTACTTAAGATAGATGACTTTTTAAAAGATTTCAAATATACGAGGTAGTTATTTTGTGCTGTTTCTGGGAGAAAATATTTCTAGACTTTTGGCATATGACCACATATAGGCTAACATTCAATGCAAATGATGTAAAGTGCGGGGCAGGAAATATAATCAATTCTGACTTTTGCAGTTACTAATCTTGTGACTTAGTTAAGTAATTGTTCAGGCTTGTTCTCGGTTTTCTCATCTATATAAGGATGCTGCATCACTTAAATTGCAAGCTATATATAGATTACAAAACATGTGTACAAATTTTCTAATTGTTAGTAGTCACTTCATAGCAGATGGTAGCTGCTATCCTAATTTTCTTTCATCTCATTGTTTGTAATTCTGTTCTCATGGGTGTTTAGTATTTTAAGACTTGATACTTTATTACAGATGAGCAACTGATTTACTTTAGTCTACCAGAGTGTTCATATTTTATTAAAAATGCAGTGTTTAAATTTTTTGTCTCTCTGGTCTGTATCTTAAGGTGAAATCAGATAGATGTAAATATAATCACTGCTCATTTCCTTAAATATCACTTAGAAAAATCTGTTCAAAAAACATCTTGGAAGAAGTAGGTAAACCCGTGGTTTTTGCCTATCATTTTTCCAGTACCATATGCCGAAGTAGATAATTGCTCAAATGGGGCATGATTTGGGTTAAAATATACCTTCATCCATAAGCCACCTTGTTGCACTCCACATAAATTCCGAGAAATCAAAAGTTATTAGAAAATTATTGTACATGGCATTATCAGGAGGATTTTAAGGGAACATACTATTATTCTGCTGACAAGCCCTACATCAAAATGCATGACAAAACATGTATTTATTTAAAGGGTCAGGCACCAAGAATATTGGGATTCACAGGATTTAACTTTATACGATGGAATTTTAATATATATAGTAAAATTCATATGGTGAATTATATAAATATATATATATGCATATATATATAAATAAATACTCTACATTGAGGGTCATTACGTGTGTGTGCGTGTGTGTGTGTGTGTGTGTGTGTGTATGTGTGACTAAAAGAGGTAGTACTTAGTTTCTGGTTTGGTGCCCATTCTTTGCTCAATAGCTTAATGAAAACCTGATTACATAACTATTTATTTTTTATTGTTAAGTAACATTGGGAAGACCTATTTAGTGAATAGGCATCCTTTTAATAATATTGACAGTTTAATTAAACATTTCAATAAATCTCAAAATCTTAAAATCACATTATGTTCATGTAATGAAATAAGATAAACTTGAAAATTTGGGTCAATCATAGTTATTCTTTGGTTTGATAGGTTAAAAATTACTTTTCTAAGGAACTCTGTCACCAGGTGCTGACTCTGAGAGTTTAATACATTTTAGAGTCCAAATATCACATTCTTAGTCATCCACAATTTTCTCATCTCACACATATCAGTTAAGATTAGAATTGCAAACTTGCCGAGCTTTGTCAGATGTTTGTCAATCAGCATACACTTTCTAATGGATTCGTGTGCGAGATCTCCAATTGGTAGAGCTTTCAAAATGTTCTTGCATAAAGTGTTCTTCACTGTGCTTCCTCTATTCCAGTTATTGTTTCATCCCTGAAACTCTTAGTAAACATTTTTTATATATATTTTGGATTCTTGAGAGAGAGAGAGAGAGAGAGAGAGAGAGAGAGAGAGAGACTGAGTCCAAAGTGGAGGACAAATAGTATAATTAATTTTTAAAACAGAAATGAATTTTTGTGATGTCAAAAAATATATTAATAAAAAGTTTTATTATTGATGCTTTAATAAGCTATTTTATTGATAAAATTTTCAAACTCAACTATCAATTCTAAATAATTCTAAAACATTTTGTGTACAGATGTGTTCTTATAAGCAATGTGTGAATTTTCTGACCTTACACAGAAGTTGATATTTTGCCTACTTGCATGTTTTAAGTCTCCAATTTTCTAAGGATTAAATGAACATTGTTTTTGTTTTGTATCCCCATATCTAAGAGGTTATTCATTCTTTGTATTAGAAATATCTTCCACATGGTTCTGAGAAAGTCTTTCAGCTTTCTTCTTTTAAGGAAAATTTTAAGCTGACTTATCCATTCTTTATAAATGCCCAAAGGTCTCAGTTAATACAAAAATGCAGGTGTGCATGCATGGATGTAAATTATTGGTGGTCCCTGATCATGTACATGAAAAATATTTCATGTAAATACATTCTGGTCTGTCAATACTACAGGAAAAATGAGCTACTGCGTAGAAATCTTACTTCTAAATAATGTATATGTAACATTAAATTTTGTTTCAATCATAAAACTGTCCCCTCCAGTTACCAGTAACTCTTTAACTGTTTGTTGTTGTTACTGTACATAATGCATTTCCTTCACAGTCCTGTTTCTATTGAGAAACAGTTTGCTGGGATAGGGAAATATAACAGAAATAATATGCTAATTTGCAGCTTATGCAGTAACTTTCTTCTTTTAAAAATAGCTTCTATAATTAGCTTTATTACCTATTACGGGGTGATTTTTTATTTTATAGCAATTTTAAAAACTCCCTAATAATCTATACTGTACTAAATAAATAGTCATGGGGTATCTTTGCTAGATTTAGATCTTAAAAATAAACCCAAGCTTGTTGCAGGGATAATGAATATATGGATATAGAAAAATCTAACATTGGTATTCAGTTAAAATTTGAAAAACACAAACAGTATAACAGACTGCAAAATAAACTATAAAGAATGTATAGTGATGTGTGTTTAAGGAAGAAAATGGCAAAGCAAAACAAAACAACATACAATGCTCTTTTTGTTAGCATGCATCTATCCCCAGAATAACATTTGTTGTCTGTTCAGGAATGTTCAAGAATTACTAGTGAAACAAGATGGTAGCTAGATCTTGAAGATATCAGTTCATTTGGTCAGAAAGGTTGTCCCATATGAAAAATCAGCTATTAGTATAAAATCCATTTTGTGACCAATTGGAGACATTTTTAATTAAAATATTTTCACATAGTATTTCTTTTTAAATGCAATTCAGTTATATGATATATGTGTGAAGGCTGCCCTATTAACGATTACAAATATTAGGAAATGAAATATCAGGCACACTATCCAAATATAGGGCAAATAGTCAGGTGTGTAACTGTTATTAATATATTTTTAGATTTTAAAATGGATAATTTTAATCTTTGTGAAAATTAAGGTGATACAATATTTGATTAGGTTTATTCATATTAAATAGAAAATATTAATACACACATATTGGCATGTTTAACATTATCAATTTAGCCAGCATCTTTATAACATACTTTCCTTGATTTATTTATGCAGTTGAATGCAATCTCTGGAGCCAAACTTCATCACTACCTATTCTTTCACTGCCAAGGATTTCAACATTCCTATCTAAAAAAAAAAAAAATCTATTTCCAAAAATATTGTCTTTAAACCCATAAATAAAAACTGAAATGTTGGGAATGCCCTCACATTTAGATTCACACAGGATTCAACTGAAAAACGTGACTGAGGTCACTATGTTTATATTAACAGGCTTCATGGCTGATTTTGAGATGCAAGTCTTTCTGTTTTTACTGTTTCTGGCAATTTATCTGTTCACCCTGATAGGAAATTTGGGGCTGGTTATATTGGTCATTGGGGATTCCCGGCTCCACACGCCAATGTACTACTTTCTGAGTGTGTTATCCTTCTTGGATGCCTGTTATTCCTCCGTTGTCACCCCCAAAATGTTGGTCAATTTCTTGTCAGAGAACAAGGCCATCTCGTTCATTGGCTGTGCCACCCAGATGTTTCTCTTTGTGACTTTTGGGAGCACGGAGTGCTTCCTCTTGGCCGCCATGGCTTATGATCGCTATGTAGCCATCTACAACCCACTCCTGTATTCAGTCAGCATGTCACCCAGTGTCTATGTACCACTCATAATTGCTTCCTATGTTGGTGGCATTTTGAATGCTTCTGTGCACACAGGGGCCACATTCAGCCTGTCCTTCTGTGCATCCAATGAAGTCAGACACATCTTCTGTGACATCCCCCCTCTCCTTGCTATTTCTTGTTCTGACACGCACATAAACCAGATCCTGCTATTTTACTTTGTGGGATCAATTGAGATAGTCACTATCTTGATTGTCCTGATCTCCTATGGTTTCATCCTGTTGGCAATCCTGAGGATGAAGTCCGCGGAAGGAAGGAGGAAAGTCTTCTCTACCTGTGGCTCTCACCTGACTGGGGTGTCCATCTACCATGGAACAATTCTCTTCATGTACGTAAGACCAAGTTCCAGCTATGCTTTGGACCATGACATGATAGTGTCGATATTTTACACCATTGTGATCCCCATGCTGAATCCCATCATCTACAGTTTAAGGAACAAAGATGTCAAAGAGGCAACCAAAAGGGTGTTGGGGAAAATTTGGTGTGGCAATAGGTCTATTTTTCACACTGACCATTAAATTGAGACAAATAAAGAATTATACTTTCTCCCAAACTCAAGGACACTGAGTGTATTAGATTGTTGGAGTTGTTATAAACAAGCACCAATGGACTGGGAGCTTAAACTGCAGCAGTTTATTTCTCACTTTTCTGCAATCTATAAGTGTGAGATCAAGATGAAGTGAGGAGACCCCTTTTATAGGTAACAGTCTTCTTTTTCTATCTTCCCAGGGACTTTGCTTTACTCCTCATGTTTCTTTTTTCTGATTCTATCTGTTCATGACACCATTCCTGCGGGATTACAGTGCAATGTGCCCAAATTCCTGGAGTCATCACTGTGCTGGTTTCTGAAGATGCATGTCTCCCACTTTTGTTATCTTATCCAGGGTATAGACATTAAATCTTTTTCTTATTTCCTCATAGATTATAGTGGCTGAGCACTGACTGTTATCAAGATTACATGTAAATTCAAGAACAGCAAGAGATAAGCATCTTTCCAGGTGTCTTCCCACAACCGAGCCCCACCACATCTGTATGGGTCTCCCCCATTCATCTTTGCCTGTGTTTTCTGTTGACCGTCCCACTCTGTGATGCCCTTGCAGTGGCCACAACTCCTCCGTGTTCATGACCACCATGAATTTAGGGGCAGAAAACACCCCTGCTATGTGCTTGAGTATCCCTGCTTCCTGCTTTCAACACACAGCATTTACAGAGCAAGAACATAAATCCTTCAAAGTAAACTTGAAGTGGCAGAGGTTGTCCATCCTTTTTCTTATTGCTATTTCTATCTTTATAACTATTAGTGGTATGTTGTCAACAGGTTTTTGATATGTGGCCATAAACTAGACTAAGCCTTAAATTACAATAAATCACAGGTTATGTAAAATGTGATCTACTCACATAAGAGGGAATCTATAGCACAAATGCAAAAATTTCATATTGCCATTGACTGTATTATACATATGCAGTAACATTATACAAATGTGTTCTAGACTTCATTATAGAAAGAACAGGGTAGTCTAAATTAAGCATGACCTCATCAAAAGTGTTGACTACAGAATCATAGGATCTGTTGTCCTCTTTGTGAACACAAACCAACAGGACACATTTAGTCATCATAGAAATGCACATAATAAATGAAATGACACATTACACACACAAGATAAGGGAGGAGCCAAAAAAGGCATATCACTGAACAGTAAATGTTTGTCAAGCACTTATCTCTATTTCTAAACAAAAACAAATGGCGGGCCTCCCCGGTGGCGCAGCGGTTGAGCGCTGGGTTGCGAAGCTGCCCGCGGCCTCTGCGGCGCCGGTTCGATCCCCGGCTGCTCCCCGGCCACCAGAGGAGGGTCCCGCATGGCGTGCAGACCTCTCCTGCCGCCCGCTGCTCCCCTCAGCAGTGTACTTCGGTCCTTCTGCCTGCTCTGCTCCCCGCTCTGGCTCTGGTGAATTCTCTCACCCTCCCGCGCTTCTGACTGTACCCAGTGCATGTATAAACAAAACAAACAAACAAACCAGCAAACAAATAAATAAAGCATGCCTCTATAAAAAAAAAAAAAAAAAACAAATGGCAACATCTGTAAATATATTATCTAAACAATATAGATATCAGAATAATAAAAGTCATAATAACATCAGATGGTACTGATATATAATAGGAATTCATGTAATATAGATTTGGATATCAACATGCTAACTTCTCCCAGGGAGATGTTTCACTTGTGAATCAAGCCAATCACATATGATTACAATATGATTTACTGAGAGAAATACACACTTTATTAATACAAGCATGCACTAAAAATATATGTAGATAAAATTTTTATTTTTAATTATTTTAAATTTTTCTTTATTGAGGTAACATAGGACTACAACACCATAAAAGATAAAGGGGAATAGGTTCAAACATTCTCAGATGTATGTTACACACCACCCCCACCATGAAATCACCCCTAACCTAGACCATTGGTCTCCCTCACATCTCTTTCCACACTCATTTTCTCCCCCGTAGTAGCCTCATTTCTGCAGTCATATTTGTATGGTTTACTTTGGTTTAGTCTGTTCCTTTGTTATTTTGTTCTGCAGAGAAAAAAAAATAATTGGAGGGAAATTGAGCAGTCTCCCTGACAAATTTTATGGGTGGTGACATAACCTCAATTGTTTTATAACATTTCTCTATTCAATAAGTATAACAAAAAAGTGAAGCATTTAATTCAGTAATTTACTTTAAAGAACATAACAAACTTTAGAAACCAAGGAAAGGTGATGGTTTTTAGAAATATACAGATGTTCAACAAAGAAGTGGGGACTGAAGCTATGAAACTGTCACAGGGTGAGACCATACGGTCTTTAAATGTTTAGCAGGCAGAAACTAAAGAGATTTTACTGTATGCAGATTTATAGATTGCTGAATTTACAACACATCAAGTCTAGAGCAATGCTCCATGGGAATCTTGATTTATTTTATAGAACAAGAACATAGTCATCTCACAATATTTCAATAACAAATAAATTAACAAAGTTTAAACTTGCAAGTATACAGAAAGCTACAAAACAGTACACCAGAAATTTTACTTATAGATGCAAAACCTACATTACTCTTCATTTTAGAGAATGGACACTAAGCAATCAGTAATTGTAGGGCAATTCTATTTCTTTTACTTTAATCAATGTTTTCTAAATTTCCTGCAATGTTAACATCTATCAGTTAAGTTGAAATTTGTGAAGCACTGAGATTTTCCTTTTTAGTCGTTTGTGTGCTTGTCTATTAAGTTAGTCAAAAACATGGTTATAAAACCATGTGAATATTCCTTAAAAAAACACTCTGTATTAAAAATATTGCAGGAAAATAAGTCTTCTTATTAATGGAAAATATTTATTATAAATGCCTTAAATGCTTTACATCCATCATCTAATATAATCTTCACAAAAACTCTATGAACATGGGGTTATTTTTGATCTTGTACAGTTTAGAGAACTGAGGATAAACATCAAGTGACTTAGTGAAGGTGATATAGCTAAAGATCTAGAATCTAAATCCAGGTTCCCTGTTCCAAAGCAACAGGTTCCCTGTTCATATTCATTCTACCACATTCCTTCTGAACATAATGTATTAAATGATTACTGAAACTGTTTTTTATTTGTGCCAACAATGGAGTTCTTTTCCATAATAAAAAAATCTCTGAAGTTCGCTTAGGCAAGGGAATTTGTATGATATATTAGAGAAGATGATGCCTCCATTATCTTATTTTGTGCATCAGTTGTCCTTGAATTTGAGCATATGTATGAGACCTATTTCATTATTTCCATTATAATATGGATTACTAAAGGCATACTCCTAGAAACACCCAAGATCATATTAGGTCTTCGGTATGGGTGAGAAAGGGGTCAAGAGAAACACAAGCAAATGCAAGAAGTCAGGTATTTCAGAGAGACCTTAGGGAAATGCCCTGTAGGGGAGAAAGAAAAGTGGAGCTGAAAACCTCAGCATCACTATTTCAAGTGCCTGGAGCCCTCTCTCTTCTGCAGGAGTCTAAGGACAGCATTTTTCACTTCTTTGTTACGAAGACTATAAATGAGGGGATTCAGCATGGGGGTCACGATAGTATAAAACACAGAAGCCACTTGATCCTTTCCCAAGGAGTAGGACTTACTTGGTTTTAAATAAGTGAAGATCATAGTGCTATAAAAGATGGTGACAGCCATGAGATGCGAGGCACAGGTGGAGAAGGCTTTTCTCTTTCCTGAAGCAGAATTGATTTTCAGGATAGTGGAGAGAATGGACACATAGGACACTGATATCGTGATAAGAGAAAGCATGAGTGTGGAGCCAGCAAAAAAGAATATCATGAATTCGGTGCCCTGGGTTTCAGTGCAAGACAAGGTTATAACTGGGGATGTGTCACAGAAAAAATGATGGATTACATTGGAGTCACAGAAGTGCAATCTACGCATGCAAATCTCATTGACTAAGGAATTTGTAAAACCTACCAAATAAGACCCGAGGACAAGGGAGCAACAGCGTCTTGTGGACATGACAACCGGGTAGTGGAGAGGATTGCAGATGGCTACATAGCGATCATAGGCCATGGAGGAGAGAAGAAAACATTCAGCAGCACCCAACAAGATAAAAAAGTACATTTGTGTGAAACAACTTGCATATGAAATCTTCTTGTTGGAGGTCAGTAAGTTCCCTATTGTTTTAGGGGTGATGACAGAGGAGTAACTGAGGTCAATGAAAGACAGGTGACTGAGGAAAAAATACATGGGGGTGTGAAGTTGGGCATCCAGACGGATGACCATTATCATCCCTGCATTCCCCAGCACGGTGACCAGGTATATCATGAGAAACAGCACAAAGAGCAGCAGCCGGATGTCTTCTGCATCTGTCAATCCCATAAGGATGAAGTAAGGCACATTTGTGTTATTCCATCTATGCATTGTGCTCCACTGCTTTTACCTGTTGAGAAGTCAGAGCTGATATTTATTAGATATAACTTCAAAAAGGTTTGTTTTTCCAATGCACTATGGGTGGTGCACTATGGGTGGGTTGAGGAAGGTTGAAGTATATTGGCAATATCTGGTGGCAGAATACAAAATTACCTCAATTAAAAATAAATAGCTAAATTAAAAATCACAAAAATGTTTATGTTTATATGAATGACCTGTCATATGTATAGTTGTTTAATAATGATGAGTGGTTTGCAGAAATTGATATAATAAAACAAGTTTAAGTGCCAAAGAAATAGCTATAAATTGAAAATTGGACATGAAGTAATACAAGCAGACAAGTTGCTTAATTAGAATGAAAGTGACATTATTCTAAATGCTTCCCTTTTTTGGTGTAATTATTACATGTGAGAATATTATACTGCAGGTGTTAGTTTTAACTATTTTTTCAGATTAGAGAAAAGGCATTGTTCAAGAAATTTATCTAGAGTCAGAGCTATTAAATAATATCACTGTGAGTTTACAAGATAAACTGAGTTTATCAATACCATATTCACCATAATAATTA